ACTGACAATGACACAAAGTCACCTGAAATGTCATAATTACATCTCCCAAATTATATTATCATTGCCACTCTGAACAACACAAATGGGATCATACTTGCAGTGGCATACTGAGGTGCTGCATGTCTGCTCAAAAACTTAGACACATTACACACCTCTCCCCTCTGCACTACTTTCCACTTCAAGAATTGAGTTCAAAATTTTCTTCAAGACAATCTATATCCTGGGGCAGTATCTTGAAAAACGACTATCAGGACTGGAACTGTCACAGATCTCCCTGCCTCACACTCCACCTGAAGGAGGCATTTGAAATTTCCAAATAGAAAAATGAGATCATGGCCAGGTAGGAAAAGCCCCAAGCTGAACACTGTTAAAACCCTGCTCCGCAGACAGAGTCCTCCCATTTGGAGTAAGGGAAGGTAAAACCACCTGTAACCAAAGCACTGCTTCTCAGTAGAGAGTGTTGTGGTAATAACAGTCAGAAAATTATACATGCAGCACCAAAGAGAAGGGCAATGATGCTGCCTATCCTGTAGCTAAAGGACTAACTGTTCTGCTGACAGAAGCAGAACCTGTTTGGCATAACTCAACGCCATTTAGAAGAGTATGGTGAACCACCTGCACTGATACAGCTAACACTCTTCAGAAAATACCACCAGACCTGCAGAAATTTTGGTGACCTTTTACTGTCCCCCTGCACTGACACAGCCCTGCATCGCTGGGTATCAGTGTAAATCCCCCTCATCATCAAAATGACAGGTGAAGAAAGGGAAGGAGGAACTTCTGCCTTCTCGGGTTTTCTTGCCCATCTCTGCTGGGGATTCTTTTACTGCAAGCAGCCCGAGTATTATTGCCATTTACAGTAACAATCACTCCATCCCCTCCTCTCTCACAAACCTACTGCTGATATTAGGACTGATCACACTAACAAGCCTGTAGATTTTATTACTACTGATACTAATAATACTAGACATGTTACGTCTGCTCTCACCAGTAACAGCCTGCAGATATGATCCCTGCTAATGCCAATAATACTGGGGGATATTATCTCTGCCGTTGTCAGCACTGCAGATAATTTTGCCAGTAATACTGTCAAATACTACAGATACTGTTGGCGACCAGTGTTAATAATGCTGAGAATGTTACAGCACCAGCCTCACTAGAAGATGAATCCCAAATGAGAATTTGGGTTTGTAGAGGAAGTCTGTGTGTTATGGACAGAAAGAGCTATACCTTGTAAGAATGGTTTTGTAAAAATCTCCAAAGTTTTACCCAGCTGAAGATGCTGTGGTATGCAGGGAGCAGTTTGATATATTGTTCTCATGTTATCTAATCATCTGTCTATATCCATCTATCTACCTGTCTATCTGTCTTTCCCTTTTCTCCGCCTTTCTCCCTTTTTCTCCTTGTACAGTGCTCAAGACTGTATGAGTGATACTGATTTTTTGTTAATGCCTCTGAGTCACCCCAGTTGTCATTCTTTTAGCTATCAGTCACGGGCTTATGAAACAACAGAAGTATCTGCGTATTATTTTTCCCCTTTATCCTTCATATTGCTGCTCCTTAGTCTGACAATAACCCCGCTGAGCATGGTTGGCCTGCCATCACAGACTACAACAACACTAGAATCATGAAGAGCCAGGAGTTCCTGCTTTCAGATGCAGCTTGATAATGCAAGACCCTCATCGGTCTTGGGAAAGTCATTACATGCTTCAGGCCCACCTCTGCCTTTGGAAGATGGTGGATGTAAGTGCTGGGGAAGGTCAGAGGGAAGTTACAGCAGCATTGGCAGTGCCCATAGACTGCAAGAAATGCCACACACTGTGCTACACAAATGGTGGTGAACTTTTTTAGCCAAATTATTTAAAAAACCATAGGAGACCAACTCTGTCTAATCTGTCACAGAAGTCAGAAGTTTTGCAATCATTGGTCAAAATCTGAAACATGGTCTTAACAGGGCAAATTCTGACAATCCTTCCTAGGTATTCACCTGAGGAAGACACACTGGGTTTTGAGGAAAGACTTGTGACCAGACAGTTCCTTGTTGTGACTAATAGACACTCAGAGCTCTTTCCCTGCTAACTCTGTCTCAATGCCATAGGTTTCCCAGGCCACCCTTGCAGCTGCAACCAGCATATTTGGTAGGCTGGGATTTCCACTGTTCCCTCTAACTCCCTGTGAGGGACACACCTGACTGTCAGTGTCCATCTCTGAGCCCACCTCCTGCATCCGTCTGGCTCCTTCTGTCCAACTCGGGAGTTCTGCTACATCATCTTGACACATAATTATCTCTCCTCTTCTTAATCATCTGTGCTACTGTCTAATGTAGGCACCAGCTGCAGCAAGGAGGACCTGGGGGAGGGGGTGTGCTCAGATAGAGGCTCCTCTGTTTCTCCCACCCTGTTCCCCCCAGCCATCACAGAGGTTGCTAACAAGGTTTTCAGAAGCGGGGATTCAGGAACAGCTTGGTACTTCCCCCTTTCTGCTGAACTGCATTCCTCACAGAGGAATCCTTGCAGCAGAGCTGGTCCAACAGAGCGGAAAGAAAGAGAGAGCTGTGCTGTTTCTTCTGCCTCCTTTAGGGAAGAGCCACTCCCTGAATGCTGGGAAAGTAGATGTGCAAAGCTCACAAATAAACCCTGCAGTTAAGAAACTGCAATAAAACAGTGCTCAGAAGCTCTGGGAAATACTGAGAACGTGTATGCATCCAGCATGAGCATGAAAGAAATACTTGCACTGGATTTCTTGACATCTAATCCCCATCTCAACTAGAAACAATCAGAAACTTCAGACCTACAGAGGAGATTGCCCAGGAATGAGTGCAAGGTCACTGGTGTTGCAAAACCTCTGCGTGGACCCTTCTAGTCTTAGGACCCAACCCTGCAAAGGGATGATGTCTTTCAGCATTTCTTAAGGCCAGTGTGAGCCCAGATAACTCAACTCTTGGTTAGGGGTGTTCAGAAGATGGCTGGGGATCACATGTGAGGTTTTTCTAGGACAGGGGCACAACATCTCCCTGCAGCAGATCTGAGATGGCAGGATGAAGGCTGTTCTCTAAAGTAGTTCCAATCATGTCATGTAATTGCCACCTAAAACTCAGCTGAAGACAAACAACATTTCCAGGATTGTCTGGTACCTTTTTGATTCCTAATGGAATATGTGGGCTCTTGGCCAACAGCAAGGAGTTGCAGAGTGTCACTTGCCTAAATCAAATCTGTGATGAATTAAGGACAGACACAGAGAGTAGTCCTTACTGTCAGTATATCATTGTGAAGTGTCACAGTCTTAGATGGCTGCTTGGTTGTATCTAACTGTATTTTCCAAAAAAAGCTCAAGTTCTGAGGCTGGAATTGACTGTGAGACTGCATCTAAAGTGGGATGATCTTTCCAGGTATAGCCTGAATAGCTGCTAAAGCCCGATTGAACAGCTTCATTTCAAACGAGATGTGGAGGCACCATGTTGAGAACTAGTGATCACCACATTGGACTGTATGAGAACAGAGATTCACAAAAACCCCAAATAAGTGCCAGATCTGCACAACCATTAGAGAAACTTGTCATTCCATTTGAAATGTCTCCATTTCATGTATATGTAATGATGGCAAATGCTGGAGGGGGTTGCAATACTTGTAGTCTCTTATTCCTGACATTTTTTGGCTTTGAGGAATTGACTCAGCCCTTCCATTGCTACACTTCTGTCTTAGCTGGGCCCTACTGCCATCTAGCTGGGAAATGGATCTTCCTCTGGGGCCCGATCCAATTTCCAATGACATCAGCAAAAATGTTCACATTTGCTTTAATAGAAGTTGTATTGGGTCCTTGCCTCTAGTTTTATTTGTATTAGTGAGAAAGGCGACATGGTGACTGCCTTTTATTCTTAGGATTATTGTGTTTGTTTGGATCAAAAACTTACAGATGTGAACCTCACCAGAATGAATACTGAGAAAATTACTAGCAAAACCCCCGAATACAGCATCTCTCTCAGGAGAGCTTTCTCTTCTCACTACATATCACAGACAACTCTCATGTTCTCTTGCACTGCACAGCCTTGGGGTTACAGCACACACAGCACACTGAGCCACCTGTACTGCTAAGAGGTCCCTCCACACAACAAGCAACACATAACATACTGAAGTCAGGGCTGAACCCAACAAACTGATCAGTCACTACTCTTAGAAAAGTTCACCTCATGGCCCTCAATTTTAGAACAAATCAAATAAAAAGAGCAAGATGTAAAGAAAAGAGTTTAAAAGACACCGTAAAAGCACCAAGACTTTACCCACCCCTTCTGACTCAATCTATCTATATCTTAGGCTTCTGCTTTTGATTCATTTCAGGATCCACTTTGCCCTGAGTACTTCCCAACAAGTAGGAAGCAAAAGGAGAGAGCTTAATCCTGTTTCCTTAGAGCCCTAGCAGAAGGCCTAGAAAACAACCTTACAGTCACAGTTCTCAGAAGACCTCCTGTTCTGCTTTCAGACTGTTGCAAGCATGACAGTTCTGCTGTGGTAGATGCTACCCATTGAAAACTGGGCCCTTGTGATCACCAGCTAATGTAGCTCATGGCACATCACAGGGCAGGAACTTGTTTGCAAGGGGCATGAAATATAAGTCCCACATTGCTGGTGCTTCTCCAAGATGGCATTTTGTTTGAAAACGAGTGAGTCGGGGAAACCATGTTTACCCACAGTTCAAAGTCCGGGCACCTGCTGGCACCTGGGGAGTTCAGTTCCAGCCGTTTCCAGCAGTGAATGAACTTGGGATCAGCTCCAGCAATGGAGACGGCTCTCTGCCTGCTGAGCAGATGTCTGGAGATGCAGCCTGTCATGAAAGGGCCTCGGAAGAAGAGCATTCCAAGCCAGCAGGGCAGTGGCGGGGAACTGGTCTCTGTTGCTAAAACTGATCTAGCCCCTGGAGCAGCTGCAAACCTTGGCCTGAAATTGGAGCCTGTACATGGGGACAAAGAATATAAAAGGGAGGATGAGCTTCTCCCCTCCCCCTACCTTCATCACGTTTCCTCTTCTCGCCATTCGACCGAGGAATCCCCAGGATCCCGTTAATGGAGTAAGAGCCCACTGGATCATTGGAGGCACTGGAGACGGGAGGGGATGCTGTGCTGGGCACTGGACAAAAGGAAAAGGGAAAAAGGGCCATGAGGAGAGCAGCACAGCACTCAGGGATACCCAGCTGAAAGCTATGCATGCCACCAGCCTCATAGTGAAGCCTGAGCACTAAGCAGGCTCCCGGTCCCTCACACTGAAGGACTTATACTCGCTCTACTGCAACTCAGCAAAGCTGCATCCCAGCTTTGCTTGTCATTTTCTATACCGTAGCTCCACAGCCTTCCAGTACAGGGCCATTAATAACAAGCAAGTGTATTTCATCAAGAAGCTAAACCTTGTTGTTACATCCCAGTTCAGAGCAGGCTTGCCATAGCATACCAAGGTAACTGGGTGAAATGCTGCACAGGCCACATTCTCTAGTGACTTCATAGTACATCCGTATTTCACTGGATCATTTCCTCTCAGCATTTTTTCACCAAAAGTGCATGTGTTCTGTCTTAGGCAGACCAACCTCCTACATGCCCACCCAAAACTCTCGTTGAAAAATTACCTTTTTAGCATACCTTAAAAGCACTTCAGTGTTGAGCTAATAAATTCTGTTCCCTTGTGAGGGAACAACTGGTGAGTTGGTGATACATACTACTACCCAGATTAGTGAAAATCTAGTGACTTCCTTTTGTACTGACCGATGTCAATAGGCAGAATCCTGCGGCCATTCAGGGCAATCCAAGACTGCTCATGAATTTCCAGTATATCAGAAATGACAAGTTATTCAGATTAGAAATGATCACTTCAAGATAATCAGGCCTTTAGAAAGCAGAATTGGTAGAGCTATGAATCCAGCAGGCATACCTATTATGTCCCAGTGTGTCCAGTACTGGAGAGAATATCCCAATTCTCTCATAGGCCACTACGCATCATTCAGCTCATAAAGCACTGACCTGAAGCAATCAATACCTCCAATACAAGCCTTCCAGGATGGAGCAGAACCTGTCAACACTATCCAATGTAGACTCACACTTCCCAGTACATCCCAGAGGAATGAGAGACTCTAGGGGAAGCACTCACACTCACCATCCCAGCTCAGCCATTGCATTCCCTAGACATCGCACTACTGTTCCAAGAAGGAATAATATCTGCCAACTCCATCTGTTGTGATCAGTGATTCCCAGTGAGCAAGTCCAGATTAAAGGGGCATCCAGAAATGCTCTTCTATATTGGCCCATTAATTCCATTGTATTCCTCAATAAAATTTGCATACAGGATTATATCTACCAGCTCTGTCCCGTGTAGACCAGTACTTTCCAATAAATCCTTGTGTAGCAACAGATTCTCACTAGCCAACAGAATCTAAGACAGTGTCTTAGATCACAAATAAGCTACTGTATTTCAAAGTATCTCAGAACTGCATATTTTCCCTGCTCTGACTTGTCACTAGATAAAGCTATGCTAGCAACAGCAGACATATCCACCATACAGCCCACAGACTGAAAAGTACCTCATCACACATCTAGCACAGTACCTTTAAACAGACTAGGAGACATTTGGTCACCTTATTACAGCCTCCATCTTCTGCTCACCTCGATAAACCAGCAAAACATCTTCCCCAGCAAAAAATGCATTTTCTCATTGAAATACACCCGGGGGATACCTGACTGCTGAGCTAGAACAATGAAGAACTTAGTTGTGAGGCAACAGGAATATCTTACCCATGTTTGTGTATTACTAGCTCTAAGAAAGGGACCAGTTCCAGCAAAGGGAGAGGAGAGAAACCAAATTGAGAGTAAGAGAGGGGAAAGAGAGTCAGAGTAAGGAGACAAAAGGTAAAGGCTTGTGCTTAGACAGCACAGCAGTAAATACTTCTCTATAGGGAGATGAAGGAGAGCATGAATGTGAAATGGATGTTAGGGCAGAATCACTTCAGCAAACCGCTACCTTGGGCTAGTTTCTCCACGATTCCCTTCTCTGCAATGCAACAAGGGAAACGAAGAAGAGAAACCTCTGATTTCCATAGAGGCTTCTTTCCCCCCACCCCCTCCTCCCTTTTGCTCTGCTTAGCATCTGCTTGTCATACTATGTTCGCTCAACTAAGCCTCATCCCCATTTCCACTTGACCTGTCACCACCCCTCATGCCAGTCTCCTTACCAATAGTATGTCCTGGTGCAGTCACACCTGTCCCACTCCCGTCTGGTGTTGGGTGAAAAGGCTGCTGAACTTTGGTTCTGATGATCCTGGAAAAGAGCAAAACACATTCAGAACTCAAATGCAACTTCTCTGTGTCTTTGCATACCCACAGTCCTGGCTATCAGAACCTGAAAACTTGATCTGAGCTCTGGGTGCAGCAGAGTGGTTCCATTTGCCTTATTGTGGTCCTGATTCTACTGCTTTAATGGTACAATTCTTGGAGAATTGTCCTGGTTCTGCTCTATCATCTTTATCCCAAACTTGGGTGTTCACTGCATAAGGAGAGTGTTCAGTGAGTGAGCAAGGATCTCCTGTGTGTTAAAAGCTGCATTAGCATTTATGGTCTGATCTGCGAGCATCATCTCAAGGCAGTCTTTGCAGCTAATAGAGACATTGGTGGATTTACAAATGGTGTAGCTTTAATTTTGTTGTCTAAAAAACACCTTTCTGAATGACTGAATGCCCTTGTGGGGGGCTTGCCCAAAGCCCTTGCCCTTCATAAATGAGAAGTTAAGAGCAGAAGGCATCTGTAGGGAGTGGTGAGGGTTAGAGATCACCAGGAAGAAGTTTCAGCAAACAGGGCAAAAATTGGTGTTTGTCAGGTGGTGAATGAATACAGCATGGGAACTCAAAAAGATGCTACAAATCTCATAATATAGCTCAGAATGAAAATAAACTGAACTGTAATTCAGTGCTCCGTTTCTTGTTACATGAAATCTTTCACCTCTAGGTCACTGGTTTAAATCCAAGTGAGGTCAGTGGTGAAAGAAAATCACTAGTATTTGACTGGCAAGGTCCCTGACTACTGGCAGATATTGGGTATCTGTGACTCCAGAACCACCGTTTCACTAAGGAACTCGGCAAATAAACCATGACCTGTGGAGGCCATGGAGACCAAATTCCTTTCTGAGATTAAAACAAACCTCTCCTCTCTTCAACCTCTCCAGTTAGGGTGAAGTCTGAAGATGCTCTTCAGCCTGAGTTTCTGGAACTCTCAACCCTTCATTACATTAGCTTTATTTCCTACCCATTTTCTAAAATCTCTTCAGAAAGTGAAAGCAAATAGCACATTCTCCCTGCCCACATGACAGCTTCTCTTCTAAATTCATTCTAAAGAATAAGTTGGCAAAACTTCAAAGAACAAATGTGTGGCTAGTGGGTGGTATGGTATGGACAGAGACACGCAAGACATTGGGAGGGCAATACTGAAAAAGCACAACTCCTGACACTGAAACCTTTTTAGGAAAAGAAAGAGAACATCTCACCTCAGCATGTTAGAAAACTCTGATGTACATATGATGAAGCCTGAGCAGTACCTGGAGCAGCAGAGAGGCTACCTGGGACATAGCTGGAGACAGAGAATGTCAAGGGTCTAGCTGGGGATGGAGATCCAGATCCTCATCCCATATAGATAACTGGTACCAGATACCCTAATCTATAGCTGCTGAGAACCTATACAGAAGGTGTCTGAAGGCTTCAGGGCCAGATTCTGAGGTCATGCTATTTGTGCTAGCTGAGGAGCTGATCTGAAAAGTCTGTGCTAGGGCAAATAATATAACTTTTTTTCTTCTTTTAGGTGTTTTTTTTTTCCCTCTTCTCTCACATTCCCCCTAAAACCCCCTGAAGTGCCACTCTGGTTGTGTGAGTTTATTGATTTCCCCCAGTCCAGAGAAACAGAAAAAGGGGATGGGGTGCAGGCAAAGGGATGGAAATAGAAAGCTATAAATTATTTGTGACAGGAAAGCAATAGTGCCAGAGTGCTGAGCACAAGTCCCGTGTCACTATTAGATTCCTTTTAGCCTGATGACACTGTAAAAGAGGTTAAGTGTCTGATGGAATCGTACACCTTGGGGGCAGGGGCAGTCCAGGAGAAGAACAAGCCACAGAGAGCGGGTATATCAATTCTCCAGGCCAATAATATTCCCCTCATTGATCGCAACACAAAGTTCAAAAATCTCATTATAGCTAGGCAGTCCTGGAACTTTTTAAAAATCAATAGAGTGATATAATGTATGTATACTTTGTATAAATGTATCTATCCATCCATCCATCCGTCTATCCAAAACCTGCCTGGGGGTGTCTAAGTTAACCTACACATTATACTGTGTTATGTTCTACTGTAGTGCAGCATAGTGAATGGATTAGAAGATTTCCCCTGCAGTCTTAGATGACATATTATAAAACGTCCTGTTAGCACTGAGGTGACATCAGACAGTTCCATTCATACTGAGATATGACATCAGACACATAATTCGTACTGGGAGATGGCATCAGGCGGCTCAGCTTCTACTGAGGGGAACCAAAAGATGAGTCTAATTACACTGAGATGGTGGATCAGGCTGTGCTGAATCATGCTGCATGGAAATTGCAAAGTTTCCAAAATCATGCTGCATGGAAATTGCAAAGTTTCCAAAAGCCATTTAGAGTAAAAACAACCTGTGAAACGCTGCAGGTATAAAATGCCTGTCCATAATACTCCAAAAACCCAGGCAGGGCATGAAGAGGAAGGTTCAGTTTCCTTCCCCGTTCAGTCCGTGGGCTAAGAACACCAGTTAGTGCCAGTTGTGACTGTGTTTACTGAGAAGTGTCCATTAGGAACTGGAATGAGGCTCACCAGCTCATTTCACCAAGTAGCTGTCAGCTGGTAATGATTTTCGGTCACTACCAACCAGGGCCAGATTTCAGCTAGTGACCCAGAGGTGAAAGGCTTGCTCAAAAATTCCCTTCCTAAGAATGAAACTGGTTTTATGTCAAAAGAAAGTGCCTGGAAATTGTGAGCAGAGGGGAGCAGTTCTGGTTGTGCCACCTCTGGTGGCTTGGGTCAAATAATTCTTGGCATCAAATGCACAGACCTAATGAGGTCTCAGGTAGAAGGTATTTTCTCTGGTTAAAAGAAGAGGCAGAAGAGGTCATGAAGAGGCTCTCCCTGGCAGTGTTCTTTTGCCCTAAAGTCATGACTGAACTCTAGCACTGTAAGGAAAGAGGAGAAATTTCAGGATCCTAATCTCAGTACAGAACATGGCAGTGCGTCTCCCTGGGTCGATTCACTTAGGGACAGTGATAAACAAGTAGATAGCAAGGCATCACTGCTGCTGCTTTAAGAGGCTTTGAGTGAGCCTGCCCTACACAAGACCACCTAATGAAACAGCAGATGAAAGATGAACAGAGCTGACCCAGTCCTGTAGCAACAAATGCAGCATAGCAGTGCTGTCTTTAAACTTCGGGATTGCTGAAAGCTTCTCACCCTTACCAGAGACTGAAAAACGCACTAAGCCAGCTCTGCTGCCTCAAATCTAGGATTTCTGGATTACTGCTGTATAAGAGATCGCAAAACTTCAATCACCTCTTGCCATCTTTGATGGCTTGTTCTTGCCTTTAGACACTGGAGAAAGACAAGTGTTTTTGCAGACCACTCCCTTGGCCCTTTCCAAAAGTAGAAGGGACATAAGTCCTGCCACACCAGTTAGCAGTGCTGATTTCTTGAGATAAATGCCATATTTTCAAACGTCTTTATTTTCTCCAAGAGAAATTGTCACTTTGGACTAAATTCATCCCTGCTCTAATTCCATCACAGTCAGTGACTCCAGTAACAGCATTTGTATTTAATTAAGAACATAAACTGGTACTTACTGTAAATTCCAATTTTTCATTTTCCAGTGGGAGATTTTTGCACAAGTTGTCTACTTTGAGTTTCAGACTATAAACAGATTTAATACATAACCTTCTGAAGTTTCAGCAACAGGACATTTATAGATCTTTGATTGCAGTAAAGCCTCTGAACTTCATTTCACAATTTGAATTTAATATGCAATATTATCTTAAGTAATGGCATATAATGTCATTACAGTACATAGTATCATACTGTGAATTATACATCCATTCCTGGAATTCATGAGTTACCATAGTTGGCTTGTAGTGACTCTAGATTTCTAGAATTAATACTATGTACAGCACCAGCTGAAACCAACTGCCTGTTTCTAAATGCCTTTTACTTTCCTAAATGTTCACCATTAGATCATGAATTTCCAATGTTTGATTTCTATTTCATTATTTTTGTCAGTTTTAATGCAATTCCTTTTCCTGATTCTGAATACAGACAGACAGGCAAAAATCTTCTCTCCTAGTATGACAATTGTAACAAGCTCTCATCAAGAATGTAGAAAGAAATACTAGAAGTCAAAATTGTCTGAACCAGAGTCTTTTCTGAGAAGCAAAACGTTCACTCCTTTTAAATAAGCAAGTAAAAAATCACTTCTATACCTGTCGAGAAATTATTTGATGAAAGAATAAGAGATCATAGTAAACTTCCCTTGCTTCTCTGACATTTCTATGCAAACTCTCTTATAACCTAATGTACTCTGTGGTTTCTCCTCTCTTACTACAGCTGTCAGAGTCTTTAGACACTATCTCAAATAAAAACGTTATGCTAGGGCTGATCAGAGGGAGGTAAGGTAGGTCTGAATCATCTGGAGTCCCAGGCTAGCAATTATTTTAATCCTGGAAGAACAGAGTGAAGTCGCACCAAAGGAAAGAGTGGTGTGTCCTGCTGCCTCAAGAAGACCCTGGCAGAATTCAGAAACCACTGGTATCCTCGCTTTGATCATATTCCTTTGTTGTGGATTATTTTTCATAGTGGAAAGATACACTCAGCAGAGCACCAAACTCCTTGTAATTGTTTTGGAGTATTCATATTTTAAATGCTCCATATTAGCAGCACATTACAAGACCCCAGGGTGTGCATTACTGGGCAATTAAAGTGGTTCTTGGAAGGCTAACATTGTGAAGCTTCAGCCTTTTCTCTGCAGTGTGTCGAGAGGAGGCTGTGATGGCCAACGCACTCACACCCTGCTGTGCCGCACTGTTTAATTAGTGCCGGGCTGTACTGCTGAGCCACGGGCTCTGCCGGTGGTACAGACACGGCAGCCTGCGGGGGACACGGTGCAGGGCTCGGTGAGACAGTGATGCCTTCTCTGCATCAGATCGCTACCTACCAAAGGGCTTGAGACCATCCCAGTGATGCTGGCATCAAAGAGAAGAGGCAGCTTTG